TCAAGATGAAGCGGGAAATTGCAGGGCCTGACTCTGATCTCATGGATTTCGCACAGGTTTGATTGAACAGATCTGTGGCTTTGTAATATCAACATGATTTGGCTTATATTAAAAAACAATAACAAAAAAAAAAAAAAATCAAACCACAGCAGATGAGGAGCCAGTGCTGCAGGTTCCTTGCCAAGAGTGGGAAAACAAAAAATCCCTTTGGCAAAAACAGTCAAGAGTTTTTAAAATTTCATCCTGAAAAATGGAAATGTAAAAGTCTTTAGAAACTTCCCCAAGATGAAAATAAGGAGAACCCTGTAACCAAAAGCAGCCCCTAGCACAGTGATGGGAACACATATATAGGACTTAGGTTTTTCTGGTAAAAATGTAGGCATGGAACTTTTCATAGTGGGGATTGTGACCCTGAATTTTCTTCCCATGTGAATTTTGACCACAAATTCGAACCAGGAATTTCCTTAACTAATCTGACTTCTCTACAGAGTTCTCATATCAGCAAAATGCTCCTTCCAACCAAAACCATCTTGCTGAAAATTTTTCAGACAGATTTATTCTATACACACGATTACTCAGAAGTCATTTTAGCAAGTGCTTATTTAAAAAAAAAAGTCTTTTCCACAAGTCAGACTGCCCCAGGTTAATGCAAAACATGATTATAAGCTGATTTTATTAAACTAATTCAAAGGACTGAATGAAGTTTTTCATTGCCGTTCACATCAGCACAATTTTGTTCTGTTTTAATATGATTAGGAACCTGCCATGTTTAAATAGAATCAGAGCGCTGAAACAGGGCAACCAAATTGGTGCTCGCCTGCGTGAAGCTGATTCAATCAATGCTGATAACAGGTACGGGTCATCCATGTCCCTTCTGAAGTTCCTTCCAGGTTTAAGGCATGCATGCATTGGGAAGAATGTTACTCTTTGTTTAGTATGAATTTCAACATATAACTGATATAATAATAAACAAAATGCAAGTCAATATAATTAAACTGCATAGACATTCATGCTGCCATTAAGAAAGTCTTGTTTCTATATATATTTTTAAATGCTAGGTGGGATCCCTATTTTCAGTAAAACCCTTTCTCCTCCAGCTAATTCTACTGGATAGGATGGATTGAAATATCAATGCTAGGATCATCCTCTAACTGTCTCTCACTGAAGAGGACTTTTTGGGTCTGCTTCAAATTCATATGAAGTACCCAGAAATTCTCCATCGATTTCAACAAGCTTTGGCTCAAGCTTTTAGTGTCCTGTGGTTATCCTTACAATGCAAGATGAACTGGAGGGGTTTTCACTGACAAGCCTTCTAACAAAAATCCCCATACACTTCCCGAACAAATGTGCTGAAAAAGAGTCAGAGAAATAATCACATAAACGTGATAAAATAACAAAAAATAAACAAACAAAAAAAAAAAGGCACGGGAAATATTTGTTATCCTTATTTATTTAATAAAGAAACATAATAAACTTGAATTTTTCCAGGTACAAACAGCTTAATATGTCCTATGATATTTGCTGATATTTCCTTGCTCTTTTCGTAGCTTGAGTGATTCGTGTGGTAGCCTTTATTGAACAAATCAACAGAAAAAATGGTAGCACTCACCATGCTTATAGACAGTGTGGGCCAACTACTGAGTTAGTGTCTTTAACTAAATCACTGCACCGGGAGGTTGTATCATTGCTAGATTCGGATTGGCATCTTCATTAGTAGTAAAGATCTGCAAGTGACATGATTTGAAGTTTTTGAGGAGAGTTCTGCATACCATACAAAGACACCATTCCCTCTTCAGCTCTGAAGAGATGAGCCACAAAACAATAGAAAACCCCATAGAAAACCAACCTTCCAGTTACAAAGGTTTTGAAAGTAATTTACAATTCAATTTTAGAAAGTTGCCCTGTAAACATCTATAGTTAAGAAGCTCTTTCAGATTTTTTTTTGCATTGTGATTTTTTTTTTTTTTTCCAGGTCTTGGGGTAGAAAACAGAATGATTTGTAATTGTATCGTATTGTAGGGTCTCACAGCAACGGCAATTACATGTTCAATGCAAGGGTGAAATGACCAGAGGAAGAGTTCTCTAATATGATCGGTGACCAGCTAATCGTCCCATTACATCCCACTCATTACTGCGTCTGACTCTTAATAGAAATACCTGTTGAATATTTTCTAATGTAAATTGCAAATATTTAAAATATTTTCAAACCAGCATGATCAACATTGCACTGCTGAGCGCTGCCTAGCTTTTTCCTTGGGTTTTGAACAGTTGCATGTGGAAAAATCAGATAAGAAATGTTCTTTTTTCTTAGTGCTTTTCCCTCTTTTCTGATTCTTAATCTTTGAAAGAAAAATAAGTTTACCAGTTGTCAGCCAATAAATGCTTGTTCAGCAAGTAATGAATGAACTGGTTTCTAATTAAACAGTTTCATTATAGGTAGCAGCTCATTGCTAATGATCAATAAATCCCATTGAGAAGAAAACATTTTAATCAGTAAATTGTGTCCTCTGAGTGTCAGCCACTCTATAAACTCACAAGATACATATATATGTATAGGTATATGTGTGTGTGTATATATATATATGCATATAAATATAAAAATCGCATACGCTTTCTGGGTGATATGTACAGTCAGAATAACATTACAGCATAAATATACAGGGAATCTGTATAAAGTTTCTCTAATCTGAGAAGCCTTGAGCAATTTTTTTTTTCAGGGTGGGTGTGGGGTGTGTTAGGGGTGGGAGGGAGGAAAGAATAAAGAGTGTTTTCACTTTAAGGAACGAAGAGTAGTTCCCTTAAGTTAGACTCTAATTACATACAAGATTTAAAGGCAACAAAATCCCGAGGAACAGCCCTATGTTATACACCATAGACATGGGGTTAAAAGGGCAAGAGAACATGATTATAATAATACTTATATAGTACGGTTCATTCCCTTATAGCACTTTGCAACCAGAAAGTCTTACAACATCCTTGTGAGGTAGGCAAGTATTATTATCCCCATTTTACAGATGGGTAAACTGAGGCACAGATAGGTTAAATTATTTGCCTAAAAATCATGTAGTAAGAATCAGGAGTAGACCCCAGGGATCCTGATGGCAAATCCTCTGAATTAACTGATAGACCACTCTCAAGTGAATGCCTGAGACACCTCTCATTGAATGGAGAGAATATATTAGCCCATATTTACACAGACACATTGTCATCTTTTTGACGTTGTCTTTACATATTCTGACTTGTTTAGAGGACAGATAACAATGGCCATAGATAAACTTCACTGTAACATGTCGCTTTAATTCTTGTTGCCAACCCCATGTGGATTTTGACTCCTCTACAACCTGGGATGTAACTAAATGTCAATGTCAATACACCTTAAAATACATTCTTGATAGCTTTGCTTCTCCAAGGTGAAAAGCACAATTACTCTTCCTTAAAGTGCAGTGGCTCATTACCGAAATCTCAAGGTTTTCCATGAAGTCCAACCAAACCCACATACAATTAGTCTGGAGATGAAAAAGAAAGAACCTGTCTGTCATGATGGACTTGTCTCTATATTCCATAAATACTTTCACACATTCTATCGAGGCTGAGAGTTTAATAATAAATAGTAATCTATGTTAGCATGTAAAACCTCTAATACTTTTCTACAGCCACACATCCACCTTTCACCCCATTGTCATTTCTTTGGCCTGAAGCTGATGGATACATCAGCTGTAAATATTCCTTTGCCCACAGGAATGAAGATATTTCTATTTTCTAATAGATTCTTCTTATTGATTCCTCTATTTCTTGCCCTTCCCCAGTAATCTAACTATACAGTCTGAGAAAATGGAAGATGGACACTGAGTAGAACGGATTCAAAACCTCAAAATTTACGTACGGATCCCGAGGCGATTCCCCTCCCACAATCTTGAGCTGTTCTGCACAGCCCAATTGGCATTGTTTTTACTATTATTATTAATAATAGTACTTTTGGAGTAATAATGATGCACAGTTTCCAATAAGGCTGCTCAACTTAGTGTTCCTGGGGAAAAAGGTAACCTATCCCACTCCTTAACAGAAACTTTGTCAGCGTAGATGGTGCTTTGGTGCACTACACACAAATGTGATGCACTACCTCTATGGCGAGTTTGACTGCGGTATTCAAAGCAGATTCCTGAAACATACTAAAAAATTAGTGCTTTTATTAACAGTTTTACAAACAGAATTCATTACTGTCTAGTTTCCTGATGGATAGAACAAGCCATGTCTCTCATTATTTTGACGTAATTTACTTCCCTGTGTTTTTTTTTTTTTTTTTTTTTGTATTTCTGCAGATGAGCAGTTGCAAGTCCCAGTAGGGAGGACTTAGAGTAATAATCAGTTAAAATGTAGCTAATTTGATTATTTTACAAAAACTTTACTCTTCCGGCGATGGGGATCCCGCAAGTTCCTATTACCTTGACTCAGAGTTCATCATGAAGAGTGTAAGGATCATTAATCTCCATGGAAAAAGAGACTTTTTTTTTTAAGTAAAAAAATATCAAATATAATAAATTTATGAAAGACCATTCACAACATATACAGTAAGTGTTACATTTTGCTACAGCAGCTGTGATATTTTTTTTTTCTTTTTAGAATGCAAGGTCATACATTGCCATAAGTAAACACACTAATATGAATAAGACCTTAAATGAATGTATACAGTCAGGCTTTAACTGTGGATAGATAGACACTGTGTTTACTGTTTTACAGTCTAGCATATTCATATTCACACCATTGATATAACAGCTATGACCCTGCAAAGATTCTTTCTGTGCATATATGAATATAAATATTGAGCCAAGTCAAAAAGAGCAGGGTCAAAGGTTATATGACTTATTAGACTCCTGTAGTTAAGGGTAAAAACTCCATTGTTTCTTTTGCAACTAATGTTTAATAAGAAGGCTGCTTCAATCATTGTGTAGTTACAGCATTACATTCTGTAAACAATATTTTAAAGCATTCTAAACAAACATTTAAACAATTGATTCTTTATCCCTGTCTGGTGAGAGCAGACAATCTATAGCCTCATCGCTTTTGCTCGAGTCTGTCAACTTCAACTGGAGATTATCACTTGTACCTCTGGTGACACTGTCGTAGGATGGAGGGAAAGACGTGGAGGACACAGTTTCCGATTTGTCTATTGGCCTGCCATAGTTTTCGTTCATCATGAACGCAATAAGACCCTCCTTCTCAGGTGCATCGTCCTCGAGGATGCTGCCATCAAAGGTTCTGTGCCGGTACAAGTAAGATGCCTGCTTCATGGAGCGACGAAACAAATGTCTCCTGTAGGCCCGCTGGATGACGATGGCAGAGACCTCTTCTTGTTTCCGTCTGAGAGTTGTTGTAATTGGTTCATAAGAGATCTTAGATGGATTCGCTGCCATGAACTTTTCTTCCATCTGTATTTTAAGGGCATCCATTTCTCCGGATTCTCCTAGCACCCTTTTTGTAAAAGCAAACAAAATATCCAAGCAGTGGATCCTATCGCCACTGACCATGGGCAGGTCCATTGCTATGAGTTTGATTTTGTTTGGTTTCGCTATGCGCAAAGGTTCTGACAGTGCATCTGCAAAGTCTGAAAGTGCAGAATACTCAATAAACTGAGTGGCTTCAGGGTCAAATTTCTCCCAGATTTCATAGAACATATCAAAATCATCCTCGCTTAGAGGCTCTGTACTTTCCTCAGTGGCTACACTGAAGTTCTCTAAAATAATGGCTATATACATGTTTACAACAATGAGAAATGATATAATGATATAAGTAACAAAGAATAAAATCCCTACGGCAGGGCTCCCGCAGTCTCCCTTCGAACCATTTGCATTGGGAAGGTTTGGGTCGCAATACGGTGGTCCGGTGTTTAAAATAGGGTTGAGAAGACCATCCCAGCCAGCTGACGTTGTGATTTGGAAGAGACAGAGCATGCTGTTAGCAAAGGTTTGGAAGTTGAACATGTCATCAATCCCATGCTCCTTCTTCACATAGGCAAAGTTAGCCATGCCAAAAATGGCATAAATGAACATGACCAGAAAAAGCAAGAGGCCAATGTTGAACAGAGCAGGTAGGGACATCATTAAGGCAAACAGGAGAGTTCGAATTCCTTTGGCTCCCCGGATGAGTCTTAGGATCCGGCCAATCCGAGCCAAGCGAATGACTCTGAAGAGTGTGGGAGAGAAGAAATATTTCTGAATGATATCAGAAAGTACGGTGCCTTGAAAAGAAAAAAGACAAACAGCAAGTTAGTACATGGGAAGTAATCCCAGGCTTCCCTTTAAAACTATCAGTCAGGATTACGGACAAAATTAAAAGTTCCCCAGATTGGAAGACCCACAATAAAGGGAATAGCATTGTCATTAGAGTTTCCATGCCTGTTTAATCCATGCAAACTTTGTTGAGACTGTGAGCAAAGGTGCCACTGGTAGTGGCAGTTTTTTTAAGGGAAAGCTTGTCTATTGGGAATGAGAAACCAGGATCAACTCAGAAAGAGACAGACATCTGCAGCTTTTGGTCATGACCCACCTGAGAAAATTATTCTGAGTGCAGCTGGTCAGAGTTTTTCTAATATGACAGTATTTTCATCTGTAAAATGTTAGCAGGTCAGCACTGAATCTGGGCTTGTTTTTCTGAGCCACCACCAGAGCAGTGCAGGTTTCTACTGGAAATCACTGTTTGTTTGGAAATACATTGTTTGTTTGCTTATTCATTTTTCCAGTTGCCCTGATGGGCTGAGAGGAATCTAAGGGCTGAGATTGTACTACCAAGGAAATGAGCTTGCATGCCTGTAGCTAAACTCTTCCTGCAGAAACGGAGCATCTTGGCTCAGATTGTCTAATGCCAACAGTTCCTGGATGCACTGAGCCATGCTGAACTCACATCTCCCAGCCCAGACTAGGAGAGGGTTTACTGTCACGTCCCAAGTCCTCTGACACCGAAACAACCTGGTTGGTCACGGGGCAGCACAATGACCAATGTGACAGCTCTGGTTAACTGGCTGCTATAGGCATATCCAGAGCGTCCAGCATCAAGGCTCTGGTGACAGCTTCATGGCAGTGATGTTCTCTGGGTGACCCAAACCTCTGAAATCCAGGTGATCTTGGCTGTTCCAAGGGTCTCAAAGTACAGGCTGCTCTCTGGGCACCAATGATCTCCTGCACTGGGACCTTGCAGGCTCCCCAAGAGAGCAACATCAGGTCAATGAGGAGCTCTGTTTTCTTAAAATGACACGTTTTTATTCACCTATTCTCTCCTTCAAAATGGAAACCTTTTCAGAAGAGACAATTTTCTGAGTTCCTTCTGCTCACTGGATCAGTTGATTATCTTCCAGTCGCAACTTTATTTCCAACTTCAATGAAAACTCCTTTGTCAGGATTTAAGAGTCACGTTTGACCTGCACTTCTGCAGCACCTAACATATGATCTCTGTCTGGGGCTGCAGGACAGCAAATTAACAATAAAACCGTATCTCTGTTTCTTCCCTTGGGTAGATGAGGGTGTAGTGCTCTGGTGACAACAGGGCTGAGAACAGCCAGACTCACTGCAACTGCTCAAAGCTGCCCTGAAGGGTTGTTTAACAGTGGTGTAATAAAAACTAAAGAGCAAAACAATAGCAATCTGCATGCGCCCTTTTCACCTGGCTTTTTTACTTCTCTGTCTATGGCTGTTGTGCAGAACCAGGGTTAAGCGTGTGGTGCCAATTCTGGACCACGTTTTATCACCATGAACCATTAAGCGTACACTGATATCAATAGTGTGGTGTGATAAACATAATTTTGCTGATCACACAATTTGTTTTTAGGCAGCATTATGTTGTATTATTTAAACATTAAAAAATATGCTTAAGATCCAGTTCTCTGAATTGAAAGTGTATCTTATTGCATGCATCATAGAATCATAGAATGGTTTGGGTTGGAAGGGACCTTAAAGATCATCTAGTTCCATCCTTCAACTTCGTCTAATTAAATATGTCTGTCTTTTTAGCTTTGGAGTTTGGGTGAAAATCCAGGTTCACCTACCTACGATAGACAGAATCACGACGACAAAGTCAAATATGTTCCAGCCATTGGTGAAGTAGTAGTGTCGCAGAGCCAGCATTTTGATGATGCACTCCCCAGTGAAGATAGCAACAAAAAGCATGTTGATTTTATGGAGGATGTTCACTTTTTCTTGACTTTGGTCATCCGTTTCCACCATCATGGTGACCATGTTAAGGCAGATGAGAATCATGATGGAGACATCGAAGGCTTGTTTTGAGACAACATCAAAAATGAAACCTTGGTATTTGTTCTGGAGGAAAGGAGAAGATTTAGTTTGGAAGTTTAAACCATGTCAAAATGATGACATCATTGTTTCCTGACTGACCAGAAAGAAGAGGAAAATAGACAATATATTGCTTCTGATTGGAACTTCATAAACTTACTTAATGATGACGATGAAGGAAGTCTGATGGAGTTTTCAAACCTGTTTACTCCTAATGCTTCTTGAAACTACTGAAAAAAGACCCTGGACTGGGACCATGAATTCATTCAATGCAGGCATATAGGCCAGTGGCCTATGTAAGTTCCATATGTAAATTGGACTTTTAGTGAATATTGCAGAACAATGGGAATTTTCGTACCACAAGTCACTGGACTTGCAAATATTGTCCAAAACCAAAACATGTAAATACTAAATGGTTTTCATCTGGGAGTGATCACCCTTCCTATACTAGGAAGGTGAAATACATATATTTTATTAAATAAATAGATATTACACAAGGTTCAACTGAATTATGCCATTCTTACCAGTGGCCTTGGGATTGGCTTTTGAGGTTTCTTAGATCCCAGCTTTTTCATTGCATTGTAATACTTTTTCTGTTCTTCTGTCATAAAGATGTCCTGGCCACCTAAGTATAGGGTGAGAACACAGCTGTTACTTTTGATGAAAAGTGCTCCACTGCCTCCATCCAAAGTTCAGGGCTGCATCCTCTTCTGTTTTCTCATTTCCCTTTTCATGTAGCTTTCATCAAAATATCTAAGAAGGACCTGATAAGATGGAGCACTGGGAACTGCTTATCTCATGGTGGTGAAGGGCAGACGACACAGAGCAGGGCAGGCAACCCAGGAGGAGCAAGACCCTGATGCTGTCTGCACTCAAGGTCGGTCCATGGTGAGAGGGGAAATAGAACCTCAGCCCTTTGTTTAGAGCCTACAAAGCAGCAAGAAACACAACTCTCAGGCCTGGCTGCTCCCCCCTGACCCTGCCTGCACCTTGGGGTGATGGGTTGAGGGGAAGAGGTTGCACTGCTCTGAGGGATGGTGGTGTTTGTGCGTGGGGACACCAGGGCACAGACTGCCTCTGCGGCAGAGTTTGTGCCAGAGATCCCATCTGCATGGAGCTACCTCACTGCTTTCTGTGGGGAATACAATCCCCCAGCCTGTGTTTTCAGGGTGTTCATGCCATGGGGACGTTAGGGGCTGCTACAACTGTGCTTTTGTAAAAGTCCTGCAAGGAGGTTTCTGCGGCTGTTCTGTCAACGCTCATCTCGAGGCCAATGTGTCAAAGCCACTGCTCATAAATCCACCCCTTGCCCCTGTCTCTGCAGCAATCACAGGGTGATGTGTAGCATATGCACTACTTATCTTTTTCTTTTGTTGGTTAAAATTGTCAATGATGACACCAATGAAGAGGTTCAGTGTGAAGAAAGACCCGAAGATGATGAAAATCACAAAGTACAGGTACATGTATAAATTACATTCCCATTCAGGCTGCTCCTCACACTGCAAAGGGAAAAGCAAAACGTGAAAATGACACCATCTCTGCAAATATCAAAAGATTAATGCAGTTAAAACTCTCCACTGGCAACAGAGATTATGAAACAGGAAAAATAGTGTAACTCCCACTAGCAGAGTCAGCACTCCTCAGACTCTGAAGTTTACTACTGGCATCCGCAATGCCACGGTCATTTCAGCTACGTTTCACAGCACTGTCACAGTGATCACATTGCTGCAGAAAGTGCAACTTCAGAGTAAATCCTATAAAACATTATCAGGCTGAACCCAGAAGGGGAAAAGAATCAACTTCCTGATTATCTCAAAACTTATATCAACTAATGGTACATATAAAAAGCAAAAGTAGAATTGCAGTATAATTAAATGTTACTGAAAAACACAGTATTTAGAAGTACAATCTTTCTTTTGTGAAGGGTGGAAATGAGTAAGCTCGTTGCTGAAGAACTGAGCAACTCTGTCTGATAGCCTCCACATGTACCACATTTGGTAAAAATGCTCAGATTTGCCCCAGCAGCTCTAAATATCTAACCAAGATCCCAGAAACTTGCATCTCCCTAAATGCTGTATTTTCTCATGTGTTTCAGTCAGCAGCAAGGAGGAGACACACACATGTACACGTGGTACAAGAATAAATCGACATCATAAGCTATTTTATGCAAAGGTACTTCTCTGCCCCTGTGATGCCATGAGGTTTTTCCACCCCTTATTCCTCCTTTTAGGGCTTGACTCCCTGCTACTCAGTTCAGCCTGTCAAATTCCCAGTACCAGACAGCTAACTCAAAAATCAACTGCAAGTGTCATCTTCCTCCTTTAATGTTATTAAAAGAGAGAAAGGAGAGAACAGGTTCTTCAATAAAAACTAAACAAACCACAGGTGATGTAGCAAGGGAAATACCCTTTTTTTTTGTTTTTTAGGAAACCTGGAAGCTGAACTGAGCAGTCACCCACACCTAGAGCTCCAGCACATCTCAAACCAGAGCTGGAAGCTCAC